GTCAATGAATGGGCTTCAAGCTGAGCCCCTCTTAGCATGGGAATTCTGTTCTTTTCAACAAATACACACAGAGATTGGTTCCTTCAGCACCATGTAGCACTGTGTGTTACAAACACAGTGGCATCAGACTGTGCCTAAAAGCAAGCTAACGTGGTATCCACAGAGAAAAATGTATCACTCTGTACCCCACACTCTAGAGTGCCATTTGACACTGGTTCCCTCCGAGATCCACACCAAAGGGCAATTTCAAAATCCATAATAAAATGAAATTGCTCTTCAAGTTACTCCCATCCACCTCTTACCCCTGACCTTCCCTGGTGGAAGTAAATGCAGTTTCACTGAGAGAATCTTAGTTCTTCCTGTCTCTGGTACTCACATCTGAGGTATTTTTCCCCCTGCCTAACCTACCCTAAGGAGAATACTTTCCATAGCCACTTCTCTAGGATCAGCTGCCATTTCTGTAGCTTTCACTGTTTTTAAACAGGGAACTTATTATACATCAAGTGGAGGTATAAATAGGTCTGGCTGACCCTGGATAAAAGAGCCCATGCCCCCTTGAGGATCCTCACAAGGGACCTGACAGCAGATACCAGTGCCTTCAGCCCAAAACAGAACTGCCTGGCACTTACACACCATTAAATATAAATATACATTGCAGCAAATTGCAGTGCAAACACAAGTCCACCAGGCCCTTCTTCCTTCATCCCTGCCTCCTACTACTTCCTCTTCTCACACCTGACAAGACCCTGGCAGCCCAATGCTCCCACACACCATCTTCCTTGGCACATACCTCTGTGCCCTCACACCAGCTGGCTTGTGATTAAAATGGACCATGCTAGGAAGTGCCGGAGAGAGTGAAGCCTATTGTATCAAATTTCCTTGGCCTTTTATAGATACACCATGAACCCAAAGAATGTGGTGCAATGGCCTGAGACCCTATAAGCCTGTGTTCCTCCAAATCTGGCTCAGTCACCCCTAGGCTAAAGCAAACCACTTAGCTCTCCAAACCCCCTTGAATAAAACAGGAGGTTGGCCCAGGGTATATTTAAGATCTCTCAACTCTGGATGTCTTATATTTTTTGATGAAAAACTGGAAGAACTTAAGACACTTGCTAATCTGAACTCTGACAGTGATTCCTTAAGCCCATTTTCTCTATTTTTTGCTTATTTAGACAAAAACAGTTTTTGAGGATTTTATCCTCAAATTTAATAAAATAGATTTGATATCATAATAAAATAGAATCATATCAAATTTATTAATAATAACTTTTGGATACTCAAGGATAGCTCCAATAGAGGGGCCCTATTAAACACTTCTTGCAAGCCCCAGATGAAGGTGTTAAGTCACCCTGAGGTAACACAGGGAGGAAAGGGCTCCTCCACACCTCACTTCAAGTCAGTAAACATGACAGAAACGTTTCTGCACCAGCTGCCAAGCAAGGTACTAGGTCATTAAGATAACCATCACTAAATCCAAGGAGCTTAGAGTCCAGCAGAAGAGATCCAGACAGTTGCTCAGTTCGCAACAAAATTAGAAAAAAAAAAAAAAAGTCCATTCTGTTATGAAAGCCAACCAACCAGGAGGGCAGAGAAAGAGGGGGCCAGGGACATTATGCGACTAGTTTTTGTATTGTGGATTGTCCTGGCCAAGGAAAGCACATGCCAAGCCTTGCAAAAGACTGTGTCAGCTGGGCCATCACCATCTTCCGCTGCAACTTGGCTAACTTTAAAAACTGAACAGGTGACTTAAAGGTGAAGGCTAATGATGGAAAAGATGGGTTCTTCCCTGATTCTGTGATCAGTGTACACCTCTGAAAAAACATTCAACTTTTTATGGAAAGGAATAGATCCTGTTCTTATAGTTAAAACAACCCCCAAATGGTCAGGGACTGAAGTATTTAAATTCTTGTGACAAGAGTGCCAAAACATGAAGAGGCTCAAGTTAGACTGGGTGACCCTGGACTGGTCAACCTCTCTTTACAAAAGTATGTTTCTGATACTAACTTCCTAAGGTAATGGGAAGATGCTTTTGAAGAGAGAGAGAGAGAGAGAAAGAGAAAGAAAAGAGGATATAGCTCAGTTGGTAGAGTGCTTGCCTCACATGCACAAGGCCCTGGGTTCAATCCCCAGCACCACAAAAAAAGATAAAAGCCCTTATCAGGCATTCATTGTCAGCCACCCACCTAAAGGTGTCACCAACTGACCAATTCAGAAATTTCACCTTGGAACTCCACCCAAATCAGACACTACTCTGCTTTAGCAGAACAGACTCTGCTCAGAAGTAAACAAGTACTTCCCTCTGTGGTCACCTCTGGCCAGGCTCCTCTGTGCTCCATCTCCCCAGCTACTGAGGAATTTACTACCGGCTGACCAGCTGCTTATAGGGCAAGAGAACAAGTGAGGAAGATTTCAGGAGTGGCAAGGAGGAGGGAAAGAAATCTCTCCAAGTACAGAGAGCCTTCCATGTCACTCGTCTTCAGTACATCAGGCTCATCAGCTCATTCCTTGAAAGACTGACATTCATTCTCTACTCCACAGAAAACTTTATTGTTTGCTGAATTCTAGAAGCATTGACTCCAGAAGAAGCAACTTGTTTGTGGGTTACTAGCATTTCTTATTATGTACCACATCCCAAAGACTAAGTGAAATGCTGTGCATATCGCCAGAACATTTTCAGATGACCTGGAATAATCCTGCTTGTTGATCTCTAAGGCTTGTTGTTAGAACATCATGAATTCAACAAACTCCATGGAAAGATACTTTTCACATATGTGCATCCAAACACGTAGTTTCACCAAATATTCACAGATTGGTTCCATAACAATCCAAACAATCCAAAATAAAAGTGGTACTTTCATGACTGGTGAAGAATAATAAATCTATTTTGATCACACAGAAGTACACAGTAATGAAAAGAGGCATCTAAAAAAAACTAAGGGGCTGGTGTGTAGCTCAGTGATAGAGTGCTTGACTAGTCTGAGCAAGACCCTGGGTTCAATCCCCAGCAGGAAAGAAAGAAAAAGAAAGATCAACCTGAGAGTATAAGCAATAAGAGGGGAAATGATATGCAAATTATGGACACAATTTTTATGTCACATTTAAGAAAGTGCTTTGTTTGTTTGGGTTTGGTTCTGCATGTATAAAGAACCGCTGTACTTTTTCCACAGTACAATGAATAACTATTCAGGACACTTCTGTCTCCAGCACAGAACTATAAGCATATCAGAACAGCAGAGAACAATCTCTTTATAAGAGGGACGGACCAGAGGTCACAAGAATGGATTGCTTTTTGTTGTTTTCATCCTAAAGTTAAAGTTCAGTAGCTGGTCCAGATTTTCCTGATGGCAGGTTTATTGCTATCCAGCCAAATACAATTTACTGATTTAATTCCCTATTATTTAGTTACCTCTGTTTTTGTTATGAAGTGTCAAATAAATTAGATTATCTATACCACAGGATTTTCCTGAACTAGATGTAGAATCTAATTTACATTGCAAAAGAAATTTAGGTATCAAAGTATCCCGAGTTCTTTACTGTGGCACCTCTCTATGCATACCCTGAGATATGTACGAACACAGAAGCCCAAAAGTTCCATTGGTCATTTCTGTGAGACAAAAACAAAGAAACCCAACCCACCTTTTGAGTTCACATTGGCCTTACTTCAAACCCATGACCATCTTTCCTGATAAGTAACACTAAAATCTGATTATAATTATGAAAACCTAGAACGCAATGATTTAAAAAAATGCCGCCTTTCCCCTGCATACATCCTAGTTGAAAAGCGGTGTTAAAACGGGAAAGATTTTTCTAACTCCCCTTAGACTAAGAAAACAGGTTATATGTCCATTGTTTCTGCAGTGTCCATTCAATGAACACATTAAAATAGGCCAAGCCCAAAACAAACTTCAGCAGTTTCAGCTTCTCACTGGAGCAGAAAGCTTGCCACCTGGGTACTGATGGAACCATGAAAAGCATAAACTGTAAGAAATGCAGAGATGGGAAAAATAATCGGGGGAGATGGACAAATCATCCTGCCTCCCAATGGTGGCAAACTTTACAACTTTTTAAAAGCAACAAACCGAGGTACCATAGCCTTTTTAGATTACATATCGCGACTACTTAGAAGAAAGCACTGTGTATTCAAGTATCTATTCTGTCTTTACAATACTGCAAAACATGGCCAGAGAACCGGGAGATTGCTGCTCTTAGATACCCTCTTTGCACTGTCAAACAGAGAAGGTCATTTTGCCTGGTCACTTATTTTTCCTCCCTTCATCACAGGAGTTTTCTACTTTTGAGATTGCTCAACTTTCATATGCATTGGAGTAAAAATAACTATTCAGCAACTTTATTCACCTTGGCTTAAAAAAAACAACAAAAAAAGAATTCATTGTGCAATGCCCGGGAAAAGCTGACACCAAGACTGTCTCTCCAAGCACCAAGACGGTGCTTGCAATTACAATGGGGGGGGGGGGGGGGGGGGGATCCTGTGTGATCAAATCCAAGGAGTCCTTTTTAAAAAAGAAAGAAACGATTCCATTTCCGATAGGGGCTGGAGAACTTTTTCTCCTAAGGAGACCACCCCTCGAGAACAAAAGTTACATTTTAGTCACATGTTAGGTGTGGGAATAAGGAGCAGGATTTTTTTTGTTGTTGCTGTTGCTGTTGTTTTTTAAGCGCACTAATCACGGAGGTGTTTAACAGCTCGGGAGAACCCGGGTTCCTCCTAACCAATTGTGACGGGCATTTCATTGTCAAAAAGAAAGGGGGTGGGGTGGGGGCCCAGGAGCGGACCAGGGGGCTCGTCGGCTGGGAGCAGCAAGGTTACGCTAAAGGGTACAGACGCTGCCGCGAGCTGCATCTCCTTGCCTCGCGCCCCAAATAATTTACTGCGAGCAGACCAACTGCAACAGCCCGCTCCGAGGAGCCCGGCACGACTGCCCTGGCCGGTGCAGCTCAAGGTTTTCCGACCACCGAGAGGGAGGGGAGCCGATCTTTACCTTAATGCTACACTGAGCAGGAGTCTCAGACATGTCTCACAGCGAGAGGGATCAGGAAGTTCTCAGTTTTTTTCCACTTTCCTTTCCTCTCCCCAACCCAGAAATGCTCCGCGGGCAGCCGGACGCGGTCATTTAAGAAGTTTCTTCCAGCATCTCTCGGGCAGCCGCCCCGGGGGTCTGCGAGCGCGCCGCGGGCGGGGCGGGGCGGCCGGCAGAGTTGCGCGTGCGGGGCGCGGGGGCGTGGGAGCCGGGCCGAGCGGCGGCGGGGTCTGCGGGTCGCGGCGCGGCGACCCGGGCTGCCCGCCGGCCTCCCGTCTCTCCTCCCACCCGCGGCCGGCGCGCCCGCCCCCGCCCTCCCGCCGCTCTCCCTCGCTCTCTCGAATGTTTTCCTTCCTGGAAGAGAGAAACTGAAAGGCAGAACTGAGAAAGCTCTTTGCTCATTGATCTTGAGAGTTTCAGTGCAGAAACTGACGTGAATTCCCAGCACAGAGCTCTGCCTCTTAAAGGAGCCACCAGGAAATAAAAGCTCGGGTTACAGCCCAGCATAGGGGAAATAAAAGCCGGGCGGGGGAGGGGCGGCCGAGGGGGCGCGGGCGGAGGACGCCCGGGAGCTGCGGCCCCGACTGCGCCGCGCAGCCCCCCAGGGCACCCCCGGCACCCGGCTCCCGCCCTCAGCGCGGGCGACCCCCAGGCGGACGAGCCCAGCAGGCAACTGCCGGCTCCTGGAGGACACGTTTACAAAACGTTACATTGTGGCCCCAGAAACCGCAAAACAGGTTTTATTCAACTCCTCCGGCCTCCCCCTACCTCCGTTTCTTAGATACAGGGAAATGCACCAGGGCTTTTAAATAGTTTCCCTGCGCGCCGTTGCAAAGAGTATACGATATAGGAAGGGGCATTCCGGGAAGGACGCGGAATCCGAAGGAGGAAATAAAACAATAGCCTTTGTTCTGCTTCTCGACCGCTGCCGCTTTAAGAGAATCCACCAGGAAATGGGAGATCGGGTTACAGACTGCACACGGGGAAGTGTGGGGAGCGAGCGCCGGAGCGCGACGCCGGAGACAAAGCCGGGCGACCGCGCCGCGGGCGCCGGGCACTAATGGGTGGGGGGATTCCCCGGGAAGGTGGGCGCCCCTCAAAGAGGAGGCTCCCGCGCCGGCCCGGGACGCGGCCGCCGCAGGCGCTTCCCCAGCCGAGCACGCGCTCCGGGGAAGGAAGGCTGCCGGGCAGTTATCAAAGGCAACCCAGTTCCTTTTCCTGACCCCCTCCCTCCGCGTTTCGAAATCCACTGCCCTTTTAAAGAAATAGCGGCCGCTACCAACCGAAATAGGTGACTCGACTACAAAGTTGACAGGACGTGTTCCCACAGATAACACACCTCCCCAGAACCCTCTCCGAAACCGTCATTGGCCGACGGCACGGCCCTGGGATCCGGCGGGAGGAAGGTGGGCTGGGAAAGCAGTGGAGAGGAAGTGGAGCGGTGGGGCGAGCGTTCCAGCCTTGAGCTCAAGTGGTCTGATCACTCCGTTATTGTTATTGATAGTCTCTTCAAATGCTCTCGAGAGTCCACCGCAGGCGACTCAGTACATTGTAATTGTGTTTGAATTCTGAACCCTGCTAATACATAATATACAGGTTTGATGTGTGAACGGAAGGCTGAATTTGTTGTAATTTAATCTTTTGATAGTAAATATCATATGGATACACATGCATAAGTGTTTGCCTGTGTTTACTTATACACACACTCTCATATTTTCAACACCCGACCAGGATGGATATCCCAGATCCTCCCCACCCGGTGGATTTTCCCTACCTACTTTCCTTCATGTCTCTGCATTATAAAATGTGTTCAGACTTTTACAAACAATACTTTGGTTCACACATTCATTGGAACACTAACACACAAAAAAAATGTAAAGGGTTGGGTGGCAAAGTGTCCTGTTGCCAGAAAGGTGGAAATGGGTTTCTCTGAGCCTCCAGGAACTTTAACAGTTTTTTGTGTCACCTGGTAGACCTACCTTCCCAAAGAGATCTCAGTCTTATCCACAAAAATTCCTGTCTTTGACCCTCCACGCACACTCGTGTACACACACACACACACACACACACACTTCCCCGATTATTTATCTTTGTTTCTCTTCAATGATATTTGCAGACATTGGTTCCGATTGCCCATTACTGAGTTAAATCTTATAGTCCCTTATGAACCTTTACATCACTTATTTATCAATATGATCTCTGACAGCTCATTTTCTACTCTTCCATAAAATGAGGAGGGGGGAGATAACACATAACTAATAAGATTCTCACATTAAATGAGAAAATATAGAGAATAGAGCTCTCCATTCCTTATCCACAGAGAATACATTCCAAGACTCCCGGTGGATGCCTGAAACCACAGATAGTACTGAACCCTGTGTATATTATTTTCTCATACATACTTTCCTGTGATAAAGCTTAACTTTGTTAGTTAGGCACAGTAAGAGATTAGCAAGAATTGACAATAAAACAGGACAATCACAACATATAGTAATAACAGTTATTTAAAACTTATGAATTGTTTATTTCTAAAAATTCTATTTAATACTTTCAGTCTGTGGTTGACCACAGATAACTGAAACCATGGATAAGGGGGACCACAGGTACAAAATGTTTCTTCAGCAGACTGCCATGTATTATGTGTGTTCAATTAATGTTAACTGCAACTATTATTTAACCTCAGGACTAAATTAACTTTCAACTTCCTTTCCTTAAATCCTCTGTACTTCTCCAAGTTGTTCATAGAAGTAGCAGTTTGAGATAGAATGTGTATGGTTCCAAAGAAAAATACACAGTAGTAGCAAAAACTTCACTTAGACTAGGAACTGACAGTCTCTGTAAAAGGCCCAATAGTAAATATTTTAGGTTTTGTGGACTAAGAAGAAAAATAGAGGGCATTATGTAGATACTTATATAACAAGGGGGGAAATGGCCATTATTTTTTGTTGCTAAAATGCAAAGTGTAATAAAAATAGCAATTTTAATACAGGTCTAATGAGAGTAATGGGATTCTGTTTGGGGGGAACAGTTCATTTACATGGGGTTCAAAGTAATTGTTCTCTTTCATCAAATCCATTGCAAATGTTCATCTCATTAATGCTTTTTATGAGATTATACATATTTCATATGTTTCCACCCAGATAAGTACTGCTACATATTGATATGTATCCATGAGTCTATAATTTTACTTGAGCATGTTCAGTGCTTAGAAGGTATTTCCAAAATTCTATTAGAATTCTTCAAATTCTCTTGATGTTTTCCCTTTAGCATGCCATTACAACGCAGATTAGTCACTTCCAGTTGAAGGGTTAGGTAGAAGCTCCTCCAGTTGCACAGTTAAGTGCATTTTAAATAAGGAAAGTTCTTTGCACTTGTATTGAAATCCAAAAGACATTTTTGTAACTGTAGTTTGAGTTCAGAAAAATATAACTGCTGCAAATTTGTGTTGGAATGGAGATCTTGCTTCTTGTTTTAACTGTTGACAGCATGTTCTGTCCAAAGGCTTTTACAACAGAATAAGTTTTGCTTACAAACTCTATTTTGTCTTGTATTTTTGGTTTAAATTCACAAAGAAATATTACCAGGTCAGTTGCAGAAGCTAATTTCCAAAAACTATTCAGTGTTCAATAATAGTGCTTGAGCCCTAGAATGGTGGCACAGGTCTGTAATCCCAGCAATTTGGCAGGCTAAGACAGAAGGATCTCAAATTCAAGATTAGCCTGGGAAATTTAGCACAAAACCATGTTTTAAAATAAAAAGTAAAAAGGACTGGGGATGTAACTCAACAGTAGAGTGCCCCTGGGTTCAATCCCCAGTACTGCAAGAAAATAATAATAATAATAATAATTATTATTATTATTAAGGGAAATTCTTTTCATTCATCTATTCCATTTGTCAATTGTTTCTCTATATCCTGTTTCCTGACTTCTTTGAGACTTTTTTTTAATATTTCATTTAAATTTCTGGATTATCTTTCTAGCTTTTTATTCTTAATGTTAAATATAATGGTTGCTCTAGAAAATTACAATTTACATCTTTATCACCATATACCTCCAAAAAATATTATTCTACTTTGTGGACATATAAGACATTTATAACCTCATAATTCCATTTATTCCTTTCCCAGTCTTTATGATATTGTTTTCTTGTATTGTATTCCTACACATTATTTAATCCACTATACACTGGGGTTTTTTTAAGAAATGTCTAAATATATATGTGGGCAAATATATATATATATATAGATAGATAGATAGATAGATAGATAGATATGATGTATTAGAATATATGTCTCTTTTTAATTTGTCCAGATATTTCCTTTCTTGTACTTTTCTACCATTTCTTACTGATCTGGTTTTCCATGTGGTCTCACTTCCCTTTGGCCTCAGAACTTCTTTCAGCATTTCTTATAGTGCCATTTGTTGGAGATGAAGTCTCTCAGCTTTTGTTTGTCTAAGGATATCTTTATTTTATGTTCATTTTTGAATAAATTTTTTACTGTATATAAAAGTTTAGATTGACAGATTTTTTTTTCTTTCAGCATTTTAGCATGTCATTCCTGTTTTGTCTTTGCTATTTTGATAAAAATTCATTTGTGGGTCATATTTTGGCACCCTTGTGTGTGACACATGCTTTCTCTGGCTGTTTTTAAGACCCGCCCTTTAAATTTGGCTTTCAGAATCTTGACTATGATGTGCATAGGTATGGTATACTTTGCATTTATTCCACATGGTGCCAGCTGCAATTCTGTATAAGTTGATATCTTTCATTAGTTTTAGAAATTTCTCATTTTTTTAATCTATGAATATTTTTTTCTGCTTATCCTCTCAATCCTCTTCTTTTTTCACTCCAGTGTTACAATACCATGCAGTATTGTTCTATAGGTCTCAAATACTGTTTTATGTATCTTTTTCCTTATATTTCAATTTATCAATTTACCTATTTGCAAGTTTTTTTTCTCCTCCTCCCCCCAATTACTGATAATAAGCTCATCCAGTTATTTACTTCTAATACTGTTATTTTATTTATAGCATTTCCCTTTGGTTTTTAGAATACTTTCCTTGACTTATTCAATTTCCCATCTCTGCACATGGTTTCTACCTTTTCCTTTAAGTCCTATGGCATTTTTGTCATATTGTCCTAATTTTAGGTCTATTTCTCGGTTAACATCTATCAATGGTTTCTTTTCTTGACCAAGGACCACACATTTGTTTTGCTTTGGTGTAAGTTTTGATAGTTTCTTGACTGTATGCAATTTTATGTAAAACAACAGTAGACAAGGAATTGAATATTTTCCCTCCAAAAGAGGACACCTGGCTTCCCTTACCAGGCCACTAAGTCAAGGCTAAATCAATATGTCCGGTTGCTGAAATGGGTTTGGACTTTGTTATAGCTTTTGTTTGATTCAGTTTATCACTGACTTAGTTATTTTGAAG